AATTTACGGAAAGTTAATTAACAAACGGAGACGTAACACTACTCATCGATCAGTGAATTCGCCACTTCTTTTGTGGTATTAATAAACCTAGACATCTTACAATTAATAATTTGTTGATATAGTGTTTTAGCATAATTAACTAAGCAGTTTAGCGTAGTTAAAGAGCGGTGATAGTGATAAGGAAGCAAAAATAATAAATACTAGTCAATGATGCTCATTTTTGACACTTTTAACCGAATAATTATTACATTAAAATTATTTTAATCTTACTACTGCCAAATAACATGTATATTACAGCGAATTTTACCGAAGATAAGATAAGCTAGAGGTTATACAATGTCTGTATAGTAAAAAATTACACAAAAAAGGAAAACTTTGTAACAAACAATTACGTATTACTACTTACTTTTAGTTCAATGTCCCCTCGAACAGATAGACGAAAATTTCCAAAAATGTCGAGAATTTTTTTGGTCTCGTGGCTCACATGTATCTTCAGAGCTATAGATAAAGAAAAATTGCTCGAATACACTTAGTTAAATAAATGCTCTTTGTATATAGATATCTGTTATTAAATTATTTCTGATGTGCCTTTTTCGCACCTGTCACTAATAAGACAGTCTAACAAATAATGTTCAGTTCTAGATAAATATTTTCAAGTTTCTTAAGGCATGTCTGTAAAGCTTAATAATAAATGCAGTAAACAATTTTGTCAGGAATTTTTCTTTCACATCTATCTCAACAATCTATCTCGGGCTTTCATTGCCAGGCTGTTGTTGTATTAAGCAGTTTTGTTGATACTTATGTCAAAACAAAAGGTATTGATTGGAATAAATATGTCGGAATATGTACGGACGGCGTACAGGCTATGTGTGGTAAAGACAGTGGTCTGGTGACCAGAATAATCATATTAGTTGAATCATAGATAGCAGGTTAAGTGCAATACTTGAAATTTTATATGTATGGAAATACATTTCTAATGAAGTTAAGGCTTTTTCTCTTAACTACTTTGACTACTTTATTCAATGAGTTGCTCAAATTATCATACGTTTATTTACCTGAATCACACCTTATGCACAAAATGGACTAAACGGCAGGTCAGAAAACCGATTTGTTTAAGCATAGCCATCCATAATGCTGACCAGAGGAAATACAACCATTCAGCAGCGTCCGCCGCCTGAACTAACTTCATTTGTCACTCTTTGGTTGTCACTCTTATAAACACACCCACAACCGAGAAGGAGAAGCGTGTTAGGTAATACTACGTCTTGAACCATAGATCTTCGGATTCCCAGTCAAATATTTTAAGCACTAGACCACACTCGACCCAGGTACAAGTAATCATACCAATCAAGCTCATGATAAATAAAGTTCTACCTTGATCTTTTCAAGCAGCTAAATAATAACCTATAGATTCTGGGACTAACAAGGAGTTACTAAGAAAATAAAATGAAATGGTAATATGTTTTAATGTGATCTCATGTTTATGTCTCTGCAGAGAGACATACTGTTTTCCTATTGTTTCTTCTTCTTCCAAAAACTTTTCAATCGACCGCCATTCCTTCATTTCTGGTCAATTACTCAGTTATTATTTGACGAAGTTACATTGGATTTGGCACAAAGATACTTTTCTACGAGTCCCACAGATTGACAAACAAAAAATGGTGGAATTCCCCACTTTAGTACTTATAGAAGGGTGAAGATGCCACAAAAAGCATAATTGTAGAGTTTTTTTACAATTAATCTGCCGTATTTCGACCAATTCCATCTAAGCAATCAACAATACAATATTGCAGCGTTTCCCAAACTATGGGTCGCGACCCA